CAGAGTCAGCATATTGCCCCCAACAACAATCCGGGTCCTCATTTCACCCACCTCGGAAGGATGGAAGGCTGAGTCAACCCTGAGCCGGTGAGATTGCAGATAACAGTCAGCTGCAGTGGCCTGCAGTACTGCGCCCCTAACCACTGCGCCACCTCAGCTCATAATATACCATAGAGAGGGGAATGTTATAATGAAAGCGTTAGAGTGTGCAGAGATGGACGAACTCACGAAAGAAATTAAAGATAAGGAGGAAACGGAATATTATATCGTATGGAGCGAGTGTTGCAAATGGCTAGAGGACAGGGGTAAAGCTTAAGGAAACACTAAATGAAGAAGACACAGGAATTAAACATTATCAATGTACAGGTAGAGATGAACAAATGTATATAAATGGAAATGGTACATAATGAAGGATTGTAAATTAAGGAATGTATATAATAGTATCATATGCATTGACAAAGAAAACTGAAATAAGGCGGGGTGGGGGGAGAAGTGTATTTACAATGGATGTATAGCGAGGTGGAAATGTTGTACAGAAGGAAATTGCAAAAAATATACCATTTTTTTTTCAATTGTTTAATAAAAATTAATTTAAAAAATAGATATCACTTCAACGGGAAGATTAGCAGAGTTCAGTGCGTTATGGCATGTAACCATGGAAGCATCTTCAGACAAAACTGGCTCCCTCAGCTAAAAAAATGGAGATGAGCACATTGCCCCCTCGAGTCGGATATTTATTTATTTATTATTTATTTATTTATTAAATCGATTTATAGGCCGCCCAATCCCGGAGGACTCCGGACGGCTTACATCGAAGAAAGAATAATAATAATAATAAAATGACAATAAAAACATGTTAGAAACAACACACATACATTCGTTACGATCGGGGCTGGACCTCAACAATGAGGTCAACAGCCCCAGGCTTGTGGAATAGCCAGGTTTTCACAGCTTTTCGGAAGGCCATGAGAGTGGGCAAGGTCCGGATTTCTGAGGGTAGCTCGTTCCAAAGGGTCGGAGCAGCCACAGAGAAGGCCCTCCTCCGGGGAGCCGCCAGCTGGCATTGTCTGGCTGACAGCATCTGAAGGAGGCCCACCCTATGGGACTGGCAAAGCAAACTTTGGACAATTTTGCAATGGTCACAGTAGCATGTCCCAAAGGTGCCCCTTCAAGAGGCAACTGGGCTTTCTGGTTTTTCTTTGAAGGAGAATTTATACTCCTTGCGGACAGCTGGTCATAAATCCTTCCCTCTACATGGGGCAGCCCTTGAAGAGCATTCGGCGACTTCAGCTTGTCCAGAATGCAGC